GCCGGCCGCGACGGCCATTGGAGGGTGAACCAACGGCAAAAGGAAGACCTTTCTCTCTGTCTCTCTCTCTCTCACTGTCCATTCTGCCTGTCAAAAAATAAATAAATAAATAAATAAAGTTCCTAGAAGTTGATGAACTGCTGAGTCAAAGGGCATGAGTATAATTTTTTCTAGCCTGTCCATTAACCCATCACACTCTGCTAGGTGAGTTTATTTCTCTGTCTCTCAATATATCGGTAACACCAAGAACAGAATATTATGCTTGAGCTGTGAGGCAGAGGAAACAGTGGGATTATTCTTTTACCTTGTTCTGAGTAGCAATACTGTGTGTATATGTGTATATACATATACATATATATGTATGTTTTCAGACTACCTTTCAAAAAATTTGCTATTATCAACAGTATAACCCTGTTCTAAGGTTTTCAGTTTTATAACAGAAATATTACTAGTGGGTCCCCACATGACCTGGAATATTAAATGTGTTTAGATAGAAAGCTAACAATTAAAAGTCTTTGGAAGAAGCCAGCTTACGGGCACAGGCTGCATGACTATCGGCAAATACAACATGAATTAAACATGGGGAGAACTGAAGTATTCTGAAGCAGGAGGGTGATGTAAAAGAAGGTTAGATTTTAAAAATCAAACAAGCTCAAGCAATAAACAAACAAACAAACTAATTATAATGTAGCACACAGCAGGTGTCCAAAAGTTATAAAAATAATCCAAGTACAATGGTTTGGGAACATCACCTAAGTTGCTTGACAATAATGGCCCAAATGTTACCAACTGTTAAGACAGGCTGTTACACTCATTTATAACCGGATTCTCCTTTTGCCAGGTGTCAAGATAGAAGCAAATTAAGGGAGAACTGAATTCTCAAGCTGTCCACTTCTTCTTTCTCATCATTGCCACTCAATCTCTCCATGCCACAGCATGTCCTCCTAGCTTCTGGCCTGTGCCACACAGTGGGTTATTGCTTAGCTTTGGGTAGGAAGGTGAGGTCCATACTTACACCACATTAGACAATGGGACAGCTTATGGTTTCAACTGTGCATAGGTGTGGTATAACATAGGTGAAGACTTATGGACTATGTATTTTATATATATTGAACCTATGCAGTATTAACATCATCTCCTTTAACATATGAAGAAACAGTATAAACAACTGGCCCAAAGTTACAAAGCCAGTAGGCAACAAGATTAGTCATAATAAAACTTAGGCCCGATGCCAAGGCCCATACTCATAACCAGTGTGCCACATTATCTTTCTAAAATCTCAGTTATTTAATTTTCTACCCAAATGAACTTTTCTTTTTTTAACCATAGGTAACCTACAAACTGGTCAATGTGTCTAAAAATCAATAGGTGATTATATATCTTCTAGCCTTAAAAATATCTGGTGTGCCCTAAATCTCTTAACAACCCTAGTACCCGCAAACACTCCTTAGAAATCAATTTCTTTAGTGTTCTCATTATCCTAGTCTCTCTCTGGTGAATGAACTTATTTGTTCATGTCTCTTCAAATGTGGCACTGAGAACTGAACATAATGTCAGTACTGTGAGAAAACTGGCAAAGAAAAGTGAGATTCCCATCCCACTTCATTCTAAACAACAAATTTCTATTAATGGTGGCTTTTGTTTATAGCCACATAAATGTGATGACTCATATTACACTCAAAATCAACTAAAATGCTGATAACCTAGTCACATGCACGCCTTAGCCATTCCTCACCCATCCTACACTTGAACTCAATAATTCAGTAACAGTAATGAAAACCAGGTAAATGAGGGATGTAAACAAGACAGCCTGGACAATGCAGCCAGGAGGCCCACTAGGGATCATGCTGTTTCCAAGCATTTCCTTAGCCATCGTAGAGTACTAATTACCGTAAATCTATTCTCATTAAAAGGATCTCAACCTACAAGATAAGACTGATGATGAATCTGTTAGGGAGCTAGGTCTTTTGGCCACATAATCACACTGCAGCACACAGGCACAGGCAATCTGCTCCTCATCTATCCTTTCCACAACCACAAGATTCCACTGTAAGGAATTCTGGCAAGTCTACTTTTTCTTCAGTTGTGGTTAAAGAAACTGATTTAAAAACAGGAATTTCAAGTCACTTCTACTGATGATTTTATTTTTAAGAGAATTCAGAGACTGGAATGAGAAAAACAAGAAAAAAGAAATAGAGGTATTGGGGCTGGCACTGTAGCATAGTGTGTTAACCCACTACTTATGACCCCCAACATCTCATATCCAAGTGCTGGCTCAAGTCCCAGCTACTCTGCTTTGGATCCAGCTGCCTGCTAATGCACCTGGGAAAGCAGAAGATGACCTAAGTACTTGGGCCCCTATCACCCATGTGGGAAACCAGAACGCAGTTCCTGCCTAATGACTTTGGCCTAGACTAGTCCTGGCTGTTGCAGCTATTTGGAGAGTGCACTAGCAGATAAAATATAGATCCCTTTCTCTCTCTGCTCTCTCTCCCTCCCTTTCAAATAAGTATTTTTTTAAAGAGAAAATAATGATACCGGCCTTGTATCTTAGGCAAAGAGATAAAGGAAAATGAAGTCAAATAAACCACTCACAACTAAACATAAGAGAATGAAAGAACAAAAGCAGGGTTCTGTGCTATGTTCTGAAGTTAACAAAACTGAGCCAGAGAGGGTTTGACAAATACTTAGTTATGGCTAGTGAGATAAACACAGATGCTTTAAAATTCTGCACATATTAATCATCCAAAACAATCTGTATAGAGAATAATCTGGAGGGTTATATACTCATCTGTTTCCCATGGCCACCTCTAAGGAGTGCAAATAAAGAGGGAAAGGGGTAACTTTTTCTTCTTATTTTGTACAAGCATATTAAAAAAAACCAAACAGGCATTACTTAGATAATAAAACATACACATTATAATTCTAGGGGACACTGGTTGGACTCCAAGAGTTAGAAATGCTTCTAAGACATCCACATCCAAGTGGAAACATTAAGGAAGTGGTGAGAATTTAAGTATAGAAGCTACATATGCAAACACTACCTATGTATTTATAAGACCATCTAGGAAGTAAGTGAAAAAGAGAAGGAAAGAACTAAGGACTGAGTCCTATGGTCATATGACATTTAGAGACAGAGAGATGAGGAGCTAGCAACAGAGACTGAGATGGAACAGCCAATGAGGGAATTGTTTCTGGTAGTCTTTTTCTTCTTTTATTGTTTTTAACTTCATTATTGTTGTTGTTATTTGAAAGGCAGAGTTAGAGAGAGATCAAGAGAGAGAGCTTCCATCTACTGGTTCGCTCCCCAAATGTCCGCAATGGGGAGGGCTGAACCAGCAGTGAAATGAAAACAGTGTTTCAGGGACAAAGGAGTCAACTGTTACACTCAGCTGAAGGTCAATTAAGAGAGCTGCTAAGGGGTAGGCATTTAGCACTGCAGTCAAGACAGTGCTTGAGATGCCCAAAACCCACATAGTCCCTGCTCCACTTCTAACTCAAGTTCCTGTTAACGTGTACCCTGGGAGACAGCAAGTAATGGCTCAAGGAGTTGGGCCCCTGCCATTTACAGGAAGACCCGAATGGAGATCCAGGCTCCTTGCTTCAGCATGGCCCAGCCTCTGCTGTTGTGGGCATTCAGGGAATGAACTGTGTGTGTTGCAGTCTGCCTGCTTGTCTTTCTCTTTTCCTTCAAATAAATTAAAATAAATTTTTAGAAAAGAGAAATAGGGGCTAGAACTGTGGCACAGTGGGTTAAAGTCCCAGCCTGCAGTGCCAGCATCCCATATGGCCACCGGTTTGAGTCCTGGCTGCTCCACTTTTGATCTAGCTCTCTGCTATGACCTGGGAAAGCAGTAGATGGCCCGTCCTTGGGCCCCTGCACCCGCATGGGAGACCCAGAAGTTCCTGGCTCCTGGCTTCAGATCAGCTCAGCTCTGGGCATTGTAGTCATTTGGGAAGTGAACCAGCATATGGAAGAAGACCTTTCTCTCTCTCTCTCTGGCTCCACCTCTCTCTGTAACTCTGTCTTTCAAATAAGTACAAAATAAATCTTAAAAAAAAAAAAAAAAGAGAACAGAGAAAGAGCTGCTGAATGACTCTTAGATCTAGGAAAGTGTATGTGGCACACTGCAAAAAATGAATACAAATTCTTGAGGTGGAGCCTGGGCCAGTGCTGTGGTATGGCGGGTTAAGCAGCCATCTGCAGTGCCAGCATCCCATGTAGCACTGATTTGAGTCCTGGCTGTTCCACTTCTCATCCAGCTCCCAGCTGGTGCACCTGGGAAAGCAGTAGAGGATGTTCAGGTTCTTGGGTTGCTAAACCCATGTGGAGACCAAGAAGAAGCTCCTGGCTCCCAGCTCCAGCCTATCTCAGCCCTGGCCATTGCAGCCATTTGCGGAGCAAACCAGTGGATGGAAGATCTCTGTCTGTCCCTCTCTAACATGGCCTTGCAAATAAATAAATGAAAGAAAAATAAGAACAAATGGATGGAAAGAATGGAATCCCTAACACCAGTCGAGGCTTCCCTTTCTAACAAGGCCGTTTCCTCAGCCAGGAAACTGCACCACTAGACTGTTTACTGGATGCTCCCTTTTCCTTCTGAATGCCAATGTCAATGGCACAGCGGCCAAGCCCCTCTACTGAAGCACATTCCTTGGTTCACTCAGTTATCAATCAAGGCACACAGTCCTCACAGGATGGAGACAGGAGGAAGGGATGGGAGAACTGCACACTCCACTGCTCCACTGCCATTAAGCTTCACCAGAAGTAACTTGATATTAGTTCCACCACCTGCCACTCACTCACGGTGTGGGGACGTGTGTACACGCAAGCACGTCTCCTTACAGGGCACCTAAATCTCTGGACAAACCTCAACATACTCATTACTTCTTGTTTTCCAGGTAAATTCTCTACAAAAGAACTATAATCACATACAAAAGCACTTAGAAAAATTTAAAAAATAGCTTTTTAGTATGTCAATAATATATAAATAACTTACTTGGCAATCCGCAGTTTCCCAACTTCACCTCTTCCAGGTGCTTTAGCCCACTGCTGTGACAAATATTTAGGAACCTAAAATGAAGCAAAACATTACTAAGACTGTTTTCAATGTTAATAGAACCTTTTAAACATAAAATAATATACTGCTTCTATTTCACTTTCCTGGAGTAATAACTGAACATTAATTATCAGGTTCTCATTGTACGCTTTGCACTAAAAATGATACTGAAATAGTGAGAGAAATAATTTTAGGTCTCAAAGAACTCAAAACCAATCTAGTTGGTGACATAAAACAAATACAAGTAAAATAACCCAACAATAATGAAGCCATGAGGCCAGCGCTGTGGCCTAGCAGGCTAATCTGCTGCCTCCAATGCCAGCATCCCATATGGGTGCAAGTTCTAGACTCAGCTGCTCCACTTCTGATCCAGCTCCCTGCTAATGAGCCTGGGAAAGCAGAGGAAGATGGCCCAAGTGCTTGGCCCCTGCACCCACAAGAGAGACCTGGAAGAAGCTCCAAGCCCCTGGCTTCTGCCTGGCTCAGCCCTCCCCATTGCGGACATTTGGGGAGCAAACTAGTAGATGGAAGCTCTCTCTCTTGATCTCTCTCTCAACCTCTCTCTCTCTAACTCTGCCTTTCAAATAACAACAACAATAATGCAGTTAAAAACAATAAAAGAAGAAAAAGACTACCAAAAACAATTCCTCAGTGGAGGACAACACTCTTTCATAGAGTCATGATGTTCTTTAGAGACACATCCGAGTTTAAGATGAATTCGAAAGTCAGTTTGATTATGTATAAGACTGTAACTTCGGTGCCAGCATTGTGGTGCAGTGGGTTAAGCTGCCACTTGCAACACTGGCAACCCATTTCAGAGTGCCAGTTCAAGTTCCAGCTGTTCTGCTTCTATTCCAGCTCCCTGCCAATGAGCCCGGGGAAGGCAGCAGAAGATGGCCCAGGTTCTTGGACCACTGCCATCTATTACGGGAGACCTGGATGGAGTTCCTGGATCCTGACTTCAGTCTGGCAGAGCATCAACCATCATAGCTATACAGGTAATAAACCAGCAGATGAAAGTTCTCTTTTTCTCTGTCACTCTGCCTTTAAATAAATAAATCTTAAGAACAAAGCAAAAAGAAGATTGTAACTTCAACTACTAAAATGAAGGATCTGCTGAAATAAAATGAATACTAAATGTAATAGCTAACATTTAAGTAGGGTTACTTTCCTGACACTGTGCTAAGAAGATAAGGTTTACCATCACCTTTTTATAGAAGATGAGTCTGGGGTACTCAAGAATCATATAATTTACCAAAGGGTATATACTTAGTAAATGATGGAGCCAGGATTCATACCCAAGCAGTCTTACTCCAGGGTCTGTTCTTAACCAACATGCCATCTTAGGCCTGTAACTAGATACACATAATCAGATTTTAATTCCCAAAATTTAAGAATGGAATTACATACACTGAGCCCCTACTAAATACACCTTACTGCATTTCTTCTTGGATTCTGGAATCAGTACCTATCTTTAAGATTATCTATTAAGAGGCGTAAATGAGATAACACAGATAAAGTATGGAGCACAATGCCTTACTCAAGATAAGTACACAGTGAATTAAGTATCATTATTATTTCTCACAGTGATCTTGGGTTAATAACATTAACATGGATGCATAACTGACAGAAACAGCTGCCAAAGCTGGGAAAGAAGAAAAATTCTACCTAGCTAGATTTAGATTTCCTTTGCAAAACAAATTACCTATTAGTTGCAGTACCTCAAATAAATTACAGTACCTCAAATACAGTAAAAATTCAGGAATAGAAAAGTCAAAAGATGACCCTGATGATATTCACTCAATTATGTATGCATTCCTCCCACTAGCACAAATGACTATGTGCCAGCCAATGTGCTAGAGACTGGGAAAAGAGAAAGTGGGATGGGAACCAACAGTGTCAAGCACCGCTCCAGATGTTTAGACCCATTACCCGACTTAATACTTCAGTCACCCTGCCAAATCACTACGGTTCTCCACGTTGTGCAGAGGAGAAAACTGAGGCTCTGAGGATGAAACAACAAAGGCTGCTAGTTTCCCACACAAGACCTGATTCCAGATTGCTCTGATGTTTTTGTCACACTATACTGCCTGCCATGACACATGTGGAAGAATATGTCAAAGACATACAGGAAAGAGGGCACAACTGATAAAATTTCAACTACCTCTCACTCACTCAAAACAAGCTTAGAGGATTTGGCAAACTCTTTATGCTAACTCTTTACCAATTAGGTCTCCTTCGGTTATGGGAGAGAGAAAACCCACTGATTACCCAAGTAACTAAACATTCCAGTGGACCCCTTAACATGGCTTGATCAAGGGCTCTCACAACGTCACCAGAACTCTCACCATCTCTGATGCCTTCTCTCTCCCATGTTAACTCAGTTCTTGGACATACCTTCCCCTTGCACAGCAAGATGGCCACACGCAACTCATGAAGAACAAAGCCTCTTTCCCAAAGTTGCTAGCCAAATTTTCTCCCCCATGGCACTGACCAGGTCATCTGCTGTCTTTGTCCCTATCACTGAAGCCAGTGATGTGACACGTTCACTGGCCAGCCTGAGTCAATGACATCTTTGGGAGGTGGTCAGCGCCACTGGAATCACATAGAAAGGGTGAGTGGCTTCCACGAGTAAAATCAAGGTATTGGCGCCACGTCAGAGCAAGTGGATACTGTTCAGTCAGGGAAGCATATGCCCACAGCTTTCCCTGTCAGAACTAAATGCCGGCTCTAAAATTGATGTGTAAGTATTCTGTTGTAAGATCAAATAAAATCTTCAAAGCCTTGGACTAAATTAATTACTACCTTCCATCCTCGATCTTAAAATACTGCCTACCAAGTTAGCCTTTGCTTCTTGCTTTCTCTTTAATTTTAAACTCCAGAAAACCTTCATGTCAATTACTGTAACTGAATGGAAAAACTATCCTCTACAGACAGCCGTGTACTTTCCAAATCAATCACAAGCTATATTCCCTAATAATTAAGTACTTAGGGGAATTTGGTGTCTTCATCATATTCAAATTACTAGTTCAAAGGAGTCCTATATTTAGACACTCTAAGATCGTAAGGGTATAAAAGCAGCCCTTTCATAATCTGTATTTCACGCAAACATTCTAACCCCATCTCCTAACTCCCCAGCTTTCCTCTCAGTTCTAGCATTCCAACAATTCTATCCCTTCAATTCACTAACTCCAATTTACATCTCTCTCTGCCCCCATCTGCTTCTGTTCTCATTTCTGTCTTTAGTGAACCTCGACTTCAGGGTCCATTATTATAATCACTTCCTTGTCCCTATCTCCCTCCCACAAACTGCCCTGCAAAGCCTTACTCCTGGTTAGAGTCAATATCCACTCATTTTTATTTACTATTTTATTGTGCTATTCTTCCTCTTTTACTGCATTTGCATTTGAGAAAAAAAAAACAACTCACAATCCTGCTAACTGGGATCACTTTAAACATATGACTCTGGGGGCCGGCGCTGTGGCGCAGTGGGTTAAAGCCCTGGCATCCTATATGGGTGCCAGTTCGAGTCCCAGCTGCTCCTCTTCCGATCCAGCTCTCTGCTATGGCCTGGGAAAGCAGTAGAAGATGGCCCAAGTCTGCACCCGTGTGGGAGACCTGGAGGAAGCTCCTGGCTCCTGGCTTCGGATCAGCATGGCTCTGGTCATTGCGGCCATCTGGGGAGTGAACCATCAGATGGAAGACCTCTCTCTCTCTCTCTCTCTCTCTGACTCTCCTCTCCCTGTGTAACTCTGACTTTCAAATAAATAAATAAAATAATCTTTAAACATATGACTCCAAACATCAAGGAAACCCAAAGAGATACTTTTTACCTGCTTTCCTCTTTTAAAACAATGAAGGAAAGCTGTGAGAAGGGTGTGCCACTGGGTTACAGAGCAGTAGATATAACAGATACATTAAGTGACAAAAATTACTGTGAAATACTTTAAATGTATTAACCATTTAATCCTTACACAATTCTATTATTTTCTCCATTTTACAAGTGAAGAAACGGGGGCACAGGAAGTTAACTGATTTGCTCCAGATCATATTCATAGTTAGGGCAAACTGTAGTCCTTTCTACCTACTATCCCATTTCTCTGCCCCTCTTTACAGCAAAACTCCCTGACAAAGTTGTCTACATTGGCTGCCTACACCTACTGCTCTGCCATTTTGTGTTTGTTTGTTTGTTTTGACAGGCAGAGTTAGACAGTGAAAGAGAGAGAGAGACAGAGAGAAAGGTCTTCCTTCCATTGGTTCACTCCCCTAATGGCCACCACAGCTGGCACTGCACTGATCCGAAGCCAGGAGCCAGGTGCTTCCTCCCGGTCTCCCATGCGAGTGCAGGGCTCAAGCACTTGGGCCATCCTCCACTGCCCTCCTGGGCCACAGCAGAGAGCTGGACTGGAAGAGGAGCAACCGGGACTAGCACCTGACGCCCCAACCGGGAACACAACCTGGGGTGCCGGTGCCGCAGGCGGAGGATTAGCCAAGTGAGCCACGGCGCCGGCCTGCCACTTCGTTTTGAATTTACTCCAGATAGGCCTTCCTCCCCACTACACCACTGAAACTGATCACAGGGATATCAAAGATCTCAGTGCTGTCAAGTCAATGTTTAGTCCTCACCTTACACGCCTATCAACAATATTTCAGAACTAATTTTCTCTTCCTCCTTCAACCATTGTCTTCCCTTAGCTTCTGAGTCACTCTTAATGTTCATCCTACTTCTCTGGATTCTCTTTATGGATCTAGGTTCTTACCTTCCTGAGCACCTAACTTCAGAGGGCCCCACAGTTCAGTCCTCGGACCTCTCTTCTCCATACTCAATCTTACGCAATCGTATCCCTTCTCATGGCTTTAAATGCCATCTACATAATAACCACTTCCATATTTACAAGTCCAGGCTCTTCCCCAAAGTCTCAACTTCTGCATCCAGCTGCCTACTCCAATGCTCCATCTGAACACGTAGCAGGCATTTCAAACTCAATTTGCACACTAGAACCCTTATTTTCCT